CTGAGACAGCATTAGCAAGAACAGAATTCTAGTCTCCCGGCCCCCTCCTCTAACAAAGAGATCAAGAAAACCCTGGATTAGCTGTTTATGAATAATTGTACAGATGCAAGCCTTTTGAATTAAGTCTTCCTTGATTTACATCAACAAGTTAATCTTTGAATTACTGCCCTGAGGGATCTAGATTTAGGTTTGGAAGTATCTGCTAGCGTTAGTTCAAGTCAGTGCTGTCTGGAGAGCATGCAAGACCCAGAGAAAAAGCATCATCTACTGATTAGTCCCAGCTGTAGTGTAGGTAAGGAACTCATGTGGACTAGCGGGCTTCAAAACCAGCATTTTCCTTCAATTCAGTCTCCACCAGCTCACAGTCTCTCCACAATCGTTCCCTTAGAATAGACACGAAGAGAAGAAGTGGGATCAGACACAGACCAATTTCAGTTCAAAACACAATAGCTCCCCTGGAGAACTGTATCACACTAAAATTAGCCTATGTAAACCACAGGAGCTTGCTCTCTTTCCCATCAAAATTAAGCCTCTTTTCTTCACCCTGAATTCTTATCCTGAGTCACTTCCTCATCATTATTGTCACCATTTGTGCTTTGCAATGGCATCAGCTTATTTTGCTGCCATCATGCCCAGATGCAAGAGCCACTCTAGTGTAGTCATAAAATGTCATTTGTGGTAGCCTGCCAGTGAAGCAGAATAGAGTGGGTCTTTCAGATAATTCCTGGGACACTTCTAGAGATGAAATGGTATTTCATGGCTCTTTTCTGGCATTACCTACAAGTCTATAGATTGTCATGATTTTACAGTAAAACCATTGTCCACTAGAAAATAAACCGAGACTTCAGTTGCTTATCCCTAGAGGAGAATGAACAGTTCTACTAGCTGAGCTGTCTTCCCTTGTTTGAGTTCAGACCACTCACAGAGAGATAAAAGGCTTGTATCCCTCTGCTAATAATTCTGTCCACCTCAGTCATCAGTAGGTCATACCTCCTAAAGCAGAAAACTGCCTCTCATGACAGCAGATTGGCGCTAATGAAAAAGCTTATTTGTCTCAGAGATGGGAAAACCTTGAAAAGGTTAAGCGAGCAACAACTGACAATGCAATTGTATTTATAATGAAAATAATTATATTAGTAATTGTATCTTGCACAGCTTTTTCACATTTCATATTATCAACTTGTACCTACACTGTAATCAGATTAATGATATCATCTACATATTTTAAATGCCAAAACTTTAATAAAACAGTCCCAGAGGAACTAATTGAAGAAAAAAGGAAAAAAAAAATAATACACAGTTCATAGAACTACCAGAATACACTAAGGCACAAATGGAAATATACACTCAAGAGAGAAGCAAGGCAAATGAGTTGAGAAAACCAATTCTTTTAGAGGGGGAAATACATTTTTTTAATGTACTGCAAATCTAAGCATTTCTAATCTTCTGCAGCCTTTGATGTCAAAGAGATCAGGTTCTAAAATCAAGTCTGCTTTGCGTTACAAATACAAATGCTCCTTTCCAATAGAGATAGTGCCAGACAGCATAACTTCTCCAACAGTCCTTGAATATTGTCAGTGGAGAGACAGAGGTGGCCGACCAGCAAAGCTGAGATTGCACGTCACCAGCCTGGCCTGAGGTGGACTGCGGGGTCCTGCTTCACTGCATCATGGGGAAAGCCAGGCAGTTCTCCCACAGTTACAGCAGGCTTAGTCTGAATAACTGAAGAGGCATTTTCTTGAACGTAAAAACAAATCTGAGTGAATTACATGAGCAGAATAAGGGAGCACAAATATAGGAAGCAGCAGAAGAAAAGAGCAGTCCAAAGTGCCCAGGGCTCATCGTAAGAGAGAAGGAGATCTTCCATGCATAGCAAACACTGGATTTATTGAAATGCATCCAAATTATTTAAGGCTGAAAGAGAGTTTAAAATTATGCTTCTATATTTGCCCCATTAAAAATATTTGTCCCTCAAAGGTTTCAAATAGCTGTTTTCAAAGAAAACTGTTGACTTTGAATTTCATTTCTAAAATAATTTCATGTCAGATTTAGATACTTGCTACATATGAAATTTAAGATAAAAAGGTCAACTTCTGGTGGATTTTCTCTCAGTAGCAGCAGGTGGAATTCCTGAAAAGAAGTAGTGCTTTATTAGAATGATAGTGCTAGGAAATTTAGATTTTTTTCTGATAGAAGCAGAAAAATATGTTTGCTGTCTCTAAGAAATTTTAAAGCACCTCCTGTCTGTTGTTAAAAGCATCACGTCAGATTCATAATAATCCATTTTAATTTATGGTCCTTACATTACTAAAAGGAAATAGTACTTCTAAACTTTAGCACATGGGAGCTTGCATGACAGAGAAATTTGACTTTGCCAGAATAGCATCTTCTCTCTTCTTTGCATAATGCATTCCATTCAGATGCATGTTGCTCTTTCTCCTGGCAGTTAACATGTGCAACAGTGTGTTTATGCAAGTTTGACCTTCCTGTTCTTCCCTGTCTCATTTCTGTTTACGTGAGCACTGTGAGCTGATAAAGCGAAATACATTTTTAAGGTCTCCTCTACTTTGAAAAGCTTTGAAAAGAAGACACCTCTCTCTCTGACACAAAGCTGTTAAAAAAAGACCAGACATATTCCTTCCCAGCACAATCATGAAACAACAGTTAAAGTGCTTTATTTGTTGAAGCAAGGCAATGAATAGCATACAATAGACTTGTGTTATGCTTAGCAAAGGGTCCATGAAACAAAATACGTTAACAAACCTGCCCACCCTGCCAGGTGGTGACTGGCTCTCTATGGACCCCCAGCCTTGAATGTTTTAAGGACAATAGTTATCAAATACTAAAAACCCAGACAAGATCATAACCAAGGTTGACTTACGAATTTTCCTGGTTTTTTCCTCTTCAAAGAACAAAACATTTGCCCTAAACATAGTTGATGCCATGCTCCTACACACTTAACCCCCTGAAAGAAGAAGAGCTACTATCTCCCTTGATTTTATCAGTTTCAAAATGATTTTTTTCTTTAGTCAACAGCTGAATGTCCCTTTCCCCAATAAGTGGTTACTCCCATTAATTAAGCAGAAAATTAGAATTAAAGTGAGGCAAGGTTTAAAAATGGTTATGGTTTAGAAGCATACAAGCTGCTCTGAAGAACTACATTTTAACTCTGCCAAAAAATTACCAAGTGTGTATTGTTGGGCAACTAATGAAAACCAATGCTTTTCAGCAGGTGCTTATTAAAATGTGTTTAATTGTTTGCATATGGGTCTGGTTTGCAGGAGTACTTGAAAAGTAGCTAATCAGAACTGTCCACTGAATGAATTCATTAGTATAAACGGTTAAGGTATGTCTTGTAAATTGGATATCAAACAAACAAACCAACCTATCTCTGCACCTTTGTCCTATCCTTCAGTTCCTCATATGTAAAATGGGAAGAATGTCTCACAGGTGTGTTGTGAAGATAAAGACATCCGTTTATGTTAAGTGCTCAAATTCCATAGGAAAAAAACCACAAATAAAAGCCTCTGAGGGCATTAGTGAATGTTCCATCCAAAGGGAATCAGAGTGGTGCAGTAAATAAGGCACTGAGGCCACACAATGAATGAGAAGGATGTAAAAAATTATGTTAAATAGCTAGCCACAGAGTGAGGGTAGGGCGTGAGGAAAGAGGTCATGAGCCAAGAGCAGGGAATGTGGCAGGAATCTGTTGGAAGAATAAAGCAAATTGATTTAAATGGTGAATTAAGTGGATGCAGTGATAATTTTGATAGTCCCTGATTTGTTAGCAAATTCATTTTATATTATTTTCTTTGCTCTATCATAATAATATCAGCAGTGCTATTTTCTGATGAATTTTGTACAAGAAACACACTAGCTGCAAATGGTTTTTAAGAAATAGGTCAAAGTAAGTATAATAACAACATTAGAATCAACAAATGCTGTAATTATATTGTACTTCAGGAATAATAAATCACTCTTAGAAACGCTTCAATATGTATATTTTATTTTATCAACTCATGCATTTAGTGTTCTTGCAGCACTCCACTCACCAGGTTTTCTTTGTTAATGGAGAGTGTGAATAAAAAAGCCAACCAAGACAGAAAACCACGTTTGAATTATTCACAGTAATGATTTCACACCTAAACATTACATGAAAACCACTAACTATGCTGTTAAAATAAAAGGTAGCATGACTTACTAGATGATTCTGAGAAAGTTTCACTTGTGAAAATGGATTCTGTACATGTTATTTGATGCAATATAACTGAATATTGCAAAAGTTTAATTCCAAGGTTTGGGGTATTGGAAAGCAGTGGCAGGCAGTGGGTTTGCATTGGTATTCCCTTAAAGACACGTGGACAACTGTATAGCAGTCCTTAAAAGAGAAGGCAGCCTTCTCTTCTGAATCTCCCCTGGATAATTTTGGAAAAGTTACAAATCCAAGAAAAGAACTGGAAAGCAGTAGTTCAGAAGACCTGGCAACAGGTAGCAATTTAAAGGGCCTGAACTTAAAATCCAGTCCATGGCCAACCTTATAAGCATATGACATGCCTGAAAGTGCATAAAACCAAACGTGGATTTTAGCACAAGAATGTCAAATTCTTACGCATTATCTCAATAACGTTATGAAAAAGTTAATTCTAGTTCTCATTGCAGATGGGAGCTTAAAGATGAGTGGGCTCATAACTTACAGCATGCTTGTAGAAGACTGGGAGAGTTGGGGTTGTTCAGCCTGGAGAAGAGAAGGCTCCGGGGAGACCTTATAGCAGCCTTCCAGTACCGAAAGGGTGTCTACAGGAGAGATGGGGGGGGACTCTTTATGGGTGACTATAGCAATAGGACGAGGGGTAGGAGTTTTAAACTGAAAGAGGGGAAGAAGTTCTTTACTGTGAGGGTGATGAGACACTGAAATAGGTTGCCCAGAGAAGCTGTGGATTCCCCATTCCTGGAAGTGTTCAAGACCAGGCTGGATGGGGCTTTGAGCAACCTGGTCTAGTGGGAAGCGTCCTTGCCCAGAGCAGGGGGGTTGGAACTCAATTTTTAAGGTTCCTTCCAACCCAAACCGTTCTATGATTCTATGATTACTGCTAGAGAGTGTTCTGTGTTTTTGTCATATATGTTCAGACTTCTAAGTTTCACTTAGCACAGCATTTCCTACAGAAAAAGACATCCCTACTTTCCTAGTGGAGGTGATCAAAATGGTCTGCAAGTGCAGTCTTGCTCCCTGTTTCCAGTTCTTGTGGTAGGACAGGTGCCATAGCATGAAGATGAAACTAATGAGAGGGTCCCTCTAGGTGGGAGTTTGATGTCTGTATAGCATCACAGCCCCTCACCAGCTCTTTCATACCGTGTCAGTCAGGAGGCTGAAGTGCTATCACTATCCTGACGGTATATGGGACCCAGAATGAAATCACAGACCTGGAGTGGAAATGGTTGCAATGTTGGTTCCATGGTCTCCTCTGTTTTATCTTCTTTTCCCTTGCTGAATCTTGGAAAAGAGCTCACATACTCTCTTTTGGCTTTCAGCAAAATGCTGTAACTGAACTATTTTCAGCTTCCAAAAAATTATGTTTTCAATGACAAATTTAAACTAATTGCTGTTTTTGCTGTTACTTCAGAGCCTTGTGTTTTGTTTGATCAGCTCTAATATTTATTTGTGGGTGCCACTCAGGAAGCAATTTAGCCCATCATCACTTCTACAGTGAAGTGCCGCAAACTTGGTTTTAAGCCAGAGGTTACCATGCACAGGGTAAGTAACAAACCCAAGTGATGATTTGGCTCAGACGGAGCTCTTCCTGGGATGCTGGCTCTTGCACAAGAAGCAGTACTTTTCCTGCCCTTGAAAAGGGCAGCCCTAACTTACAACTGCAGGACAGTAATATCTGTTGAAGCTTTGCACTCTTTCTCTTCTTCTGTTTCGTCTTCTGGAGACTAACTTGAACTTCCAGGTACAGCCACAGAGCTGAGCTGATTCCAGATTTCTCAGTTTTGCAGTGGAGGTGGAATGGGAGAGAACGGAAGCAAGGGCTGGAAGGGAGGAAAATTCAGATTTAAAATAGGGCTTTGTTTAAAGGACCATTGGTACAGGCAGCTGACTGTGATTCTTCCTCTGCCTTAACATTTGACAGAACTTCTGTTACAAACCACCCCTCCTCGCCCTTCCTGTCCCAAGCAACCGTGTGTCCCCTGCAGCTGTGCTTCCCTCATTCTCAAATGTCTCTTGGCTGGTGTTCACAAGGGGAAGAAGGAAGTTGGTTTAGGTCAAACTATCAGAGGACTCCTGCTGCTACTGGTCTCACCACCTGTGAGACCTGGCAACCTCATCATCATCCATTGTAGGAGCAGGTTAGAGGTGGGGGCAACTTGTCAGGTTAAAATAGCTGATTCCCTATAGTTTGCAAGCTGCCACCATTTTTTGCCTATGCCTGTGGAACCTCCCTTACAATGCAGGACACTCAGACCTTTTTGGGCACTTCACTGGACCCATGTGTAGTCCTTGTACTCCTGTGAGGTTTGGAGCAAGCCTTCAGCCTTTTAAGCAATTAGACTACAGTTTACGTTCCCGTATGCTCAAATCTCAAGGCTGTTTTCATTTGGTTGTGACTCAAACAGGCTGCTGCTCATAGCACCGGGAGCTTGCCTTAGTGAAAAATATCTGAGGGAAAATAAAGTACTGTTGTTGGTACTTAGCTCACAGGCAGGACTGAAGGTCGGCAGAAGAATGATGCTTAGGCATCTCAATGGAAAAATAAAGTAACACCATTTGAACAATAGCAACCTCTATAGGCTCTCCTAATTTATGGTGGATATATGTGGCGTTTGGTTTTGGAAAAATTTTCTTCAGTCTGAACTAGGAGGAATTTAGCACTTTCAGTAAAATGTACCATCAATTCTGTTGTGATTGAAAGTGAAAGAACATTTCCTTTTTATGTTTCTTTTATATCTTCTTTGTTATGATTTTTTTTTTTTAATAAAAGGTTCAACATGCAGGAAAGTGAATAAAGAAAAGAAACAAGACCTTTATTTTAGTCCTTTTATCCTGCTAGGTTTTAAAGTGAAATAAATTAAGTTTCCTCAGACAAACTACGGTCCTCTGTTTCTTTGCTTTATTGTGTATAGTGCATGTATGTGTAAAGGAAAAAGAATTCTTGTCTGAGATCTCTCAGCTGAAAATTTGGGCATATCATTGGAAAGCTGCAAATTTTTTCATTTTTCACGTGGCAAAACAAAATTTGTACACGTTGTGTCTGGCATTAGAGAGACTAAAATGATGCCTCACTTGGGCTTCCCATTCAGCAATCTCGGATGGGAAACAAGGCGGCTTCTGAGCTGTAGGCAATGTCACATTGTGGGATAGCTGTGCATGACAGTAGCTTAACTACACCTGTGACAAAATACAGACCGCAGGATTGTTTCGCTACAGGAGGGATCAATAACACAGACTTTGATTACTTAAAAAGAAAATAAGAAAAAAAAAAAAGTTGATAAAGCTAACTGAAGCTTGGAGAATTGCCTGCATCTATATATCCTATAGCAGAACAGGAGAGAAGTTTGTCCAGTAGCCTTCTGCAAAAGGAGGTTGAAGCTCATGCAGTTGTCATGACTCAAATTTGTCCATCAGAGCTTGGGATTCATATTCTCCCAGACCTACCTATAACATGCCAAATCAACAGGTAGATACAGGCAATGAGTACCATCAGGAGTGCCTGAGGTACTACTGCTGCAGGCTGGGGAAAGATCCCGAGGCCTGGCAAAGTCACACTGCAGTGGTTGTAGTGTGTAAAATGGCCACATCAGAGATACTTGGTAAATACATATTCCAGTATTACATACATATCCAGTATGTATCCAGGATCAGATCTTCCAGTTGTAGAACACCTGAAATCATTTTGAACTCCAAAGGAAAAAAGAAGAGATACTCTGCAATGTGTGTCTCTCATGCTTTTTGGAAGAAACACAGATCTCAACACACATTTAGCCAGAGTGATATCCTGTTATAAATGGTCTGTCTGTGTAGGGCTTTGAGTGCAATTCTAGATTTGGGAAAGACAGAAAGTGAAGCCTTGGTTATTCATAAAACCCCAAGGAAGCTTTTTGGGTAGGACTGCCTGGAAGACTTTAGCCCAGAGTTTGGCATTTTCAGAGCACATCTGTTCAATCCCCCCTGGGGCTGGGACTCAGCTCCATTCTTGGGGTAAATGGAAGGCAATTATTATTTTCATACCATCTTAAGTCATTTACATGTACCTCTCTTGTACCAACCCAAATTGATGGGTGCTTATCTGGGAGTTGTATTTCTTGATAGAAGTTATTTTAACCAGAAAGAAAGAGGCACAAATTTGGTGAGGCTAATTATTTGACAAATAATTTGTTTACTTTCTGATGTGCCTGATAACCTTTGTAGTAGGTGCACATGAGAACATGGCATTTTAGATTAAGAGGAGTGTCATTGTGTTTAGCTCAAATGCCTCTTGGCAGGCAGTGAAATGGCTGGCTGTATATTTACATGCAAAATGTCATCTATATAAATCAAATCCTGAATACAAATACCTAGAGATATTGTTTTCCTGTATGCAAAAGTTCATCATGATATTTTGTGTGTTCCTGAGTGTGAGGCATGAATTAATTATTTGAAACAGCATTCAGGAGCTGAAGACAGTCACTGCCCCTGTCCTGGACAGCATGTAGAGAAATGGCAAAATCTGTCCCCACACCAAGGATTTTAAGATTTTATGCCAAAGTGTCTACTCTGTGAGTATGTCTTGCAGAGCAAAATCCTCTGCATTTAGGGAATCTAAGCTGGAAAAAAGTTAATACCATAAAAAATAGCTGGTCAGTCTTGAGAGCTAAAAATCAGAAAAGAAAGACAATGGAATATCTTAAGTGAAAGAAAATGAGACAAGAAATAATGAATTACAATAGTACTTAAATTTCTCACCTGGGATTAAACTCTCTCCTGTGACCTGTTGAGTCAGAAAAGGACTAAAGGGGATATTTTTTGAAAGGTATGTGGATGCTTGAAAATTAAGCTAGTGGCCAAGGCATTTACAAATTGCTAATTTTCATTGGCGTGAGGCAGTTAGTTGACTCTGGATGTTTTTTGATGCCTGTTTACTCTGAAAAGGGTTTATTGCTGTTATTTGGAGAAAATTTCATAGTCACACACAATGTATATGACAGCGTCTGCTCCTCAGTTCAGAAGAATCCGAAATTTAGCAGCGTCTTCTTCACAGGACACTTCAGGTTTTATTTTTCCGTAAGAGTCATTCATTGAAAATGGACTCCACCAAACTACTGCATGGTGCTGAGCACAGCAAGGTACAGAACAGGATCTTTTTTGTCTCATTTATGTCTGTGATTCAAAAAGTCACCTGCAGTTTTCAGAGACAAACCACTGCTGAAATTTGTGGTTATGCTTGGTATAAAAATAAGCCCTTCTAGTCAACGATTATAACACTTCCCCATCCTCAATAGTGTAAAAAGCTGGAAAACAATCGTTGGGATTCATCCCAAATGGAACTGACTACAAATCTGTTAGCAGGAAAAAGAGAACTTAGCTTTTCCCTTCCCCGTAGGCTCCTCTGAGCTGCCAAACAATAAGATAGAATAAAACATTTTTGTTTCAAAGCCTCTAGAAAGATCTGCAATAAATAAGGCACTCCAGCCTTCTTTGGGTCTGAAATACCACAGGTGGTCATATAATTTCAGACCAAGTTAGAGGCATTCTCCCCCTAAAAACTGCTTCCTGTGAAATATTCAGCAATTCCAAAGTGGATCCAAAAGCACCAGGTGATGTTCAGTACTCCCTGTCTCCTTAGTGAGGAAAAATGGAGAACTGGAACGCATTTGAGCAGGTGGAGAAAAGTTACTGCAATCTTAATTTCCATTCTCTGAGAAAACCCAGAGGCCTGATATGAGTGAGTTTCAGTCAGATTTCCACAGAGAAATCTGTTGTTATTTTATCCATCTGACATATGGAGAGATTGTCTTGTCATGGTTGTTTCAGTCACGGACATCCACTCTTCTCTCTGCTCCATTTGGTTTTACAAAATGTCTAGTTTCTGCAGGAAGACTGGTTTTGCTTTTATTTCTTCAGCTGAATTGCCTCTTGCTGCCTTAAGCAATTTTTGTTGGAGAAGCTGGGCACACGAGCATAAGGGATATTTAATGGTCCCTGTTTGCAGGACGCCTTCCTCATACAAAGATTCAAATCACAGATTAGGTGACTTTATGACATTTTACGACATTTTTACATCCTTTTTCATGTGTGTGCTTGCATGTGCTACAGTGTGATTGCCTTCAACAGTTTTAGTTCATTTTGGGGATCTTGCTGTGTTATGTTTTATGGGGAGAATTAATAGGTTTCATTCGGCCATCCAATATGGCTGGAAAATAAAAAGCTGCTTGCTTGGGCTCACCCCCTCTTTTCAGATCTGAAAAATAATTTGCATGCTTGCAGTAAGAGTCCTAGCTATGCAGCTGTCTCTTATCACACACTGTTCCCAGCTTTAAAATGTATGAACAAATGTATTTGGAGTGATGAATAATAAATAACCTTTATCTCAACACACTCTTTTATTCCACAAAGTCTCAAGGTACTTCACAAAAAGTAATAAACTTTCTATAAAGAATAAGGACCAACGTGCTGCCACCTCCACAAGGAGAAGTGGCAAATCCTTAGCAATACACAGCTACTCTGCAGAGGACAGATACACACTCACACACAGAGCCTTTGCCTATTGAAGCATAAAAAATAGGGAGAGTTCTCAGGGTTTTGCCTTGTGCCCACAAGCACTTGTCTGCTGATGAAGAGTAAATGGGAAATGAAAGATAAGAAACAACAAAGGTTGCATTATCCTGATTTCGTAACTGAAGTCTTAATTGGATTTTAAAAAGAACAGAGAGTAAGCCATATTTTGCAATGTCAGGTGAACTTTAAAAATAAAGTGGGACTGACCAGCTTGGAATTTGCCCAGAACACCAAGTTTGAGACGCTTGCCCATTGGGAAAGAACCCAGTCACTGTCA